ATGAAGCTACTTTACACTGAGAGATTAAAGGGATGTAGATCACTAGTGTAAATAAATGTAAGTTCTGTTTTTGCTTATGTTTCTGTATTGACGATGACATCCCAAATGTTTTAAAATGAATAAAATACATTTTTTAGGAAATGCTTTGATAACGTATTTATCATGTTTTTCTGGGAACAAATTCCGCAACATTTTTATTAAAAGAAGTACTCTGATTTCTATAAAGCATAAACAAAATCGGTCTTTTCTGGCCGTGAAAATGGGGATGTCACACGTACGTGCCAAGTACGTCGCGTGTACGCATGCAAAGTGGATGTTTTGGGCTTTTGGGCCTTAGGAGATTGGGCCTGGACTTTTGGGCCCCGTAGCCCACTGTGAAGTATAATTTTGGACTTGGGAATCTGGAATTAGAGTATTGGGCCTATTGGGCCAAAATTGGCCCCTTTGGAATTATTATATTAGGACTTGGAACTTTTTGGGCCCATTTGGGGGATAAGGCCCAATTCATAAATTAGGCTAGTAGTGGGCCCTTAGGGAGTCCTTGATGGGTCGTAGGAGGGTTGGGCTTAATAGGCTAGAATTAGGACTTATGAATGTTCCAATTGGACCAAGGGGTAAAATGGTCATTTTACCCTAAGTAGCATTATAGATTCTGATTGAGTATTATTATGATTATGATAGCCGGGAGTTATCGGAGCAACTGTTAGAGGTTACATCCCGTGAGATTCGACACTTAGCTTTACGAGGTGAGTTACCCTCCAGTAGAAATGGGTCTACGGCCACAATGCCGGCCCACTAGTAGGAATTGTTTGCTAGATGATTGTCTTTGTGATAATTATCTAGGTTTACTACTATCTGATATGCTTTATGTGCCATGATGCTCTGTTATATGTGTTAGTAGTAGTAGGGGTGAAATATTCCCCAGTAGTCGGTTGTGATAAACCGACGGGTAAGTCAAGCACCCCAGAATGGCTTGAGCAGGGTAAGTCAAGCACCCTAGAATGGCTTGACCAGGGTAAGTCAAGCACCCCAGAACAGCTTGACATGGGTAGGTCGGGCACCCCAGAATTGCCTGGCAGTATGTAAGTTGTATGGTATGCGGTATGATGGGGGAACTCACTAAGCTTTGTGCTTACGGTTTTCAGTTTTGGTTTCAGATACCTCTTCGTCGAAGGGGAAGGAGCCGGTACGGTAACAGCGCATCGCACACACATGATTTCTGCATTTAGAGATCCATGGGATTTGTACTCTGACATTATTACTACTCTATGTTATGATTTTAGGGACATGTGATGACTTGAAATGATGATGATGTTGTTTTTCAGTAAATGGTTTTATAAGTATTATAATTAAAAACGAAAATTTTTGGTCTTGAAAATTGGGATGTTACAAAATCGAATTGCATCAAAGTCAAGACAAGAACCACCATAGTACAACCTTGACATATATACCAAATACCTTCGAATGCTTGGATTGACAAATGACAAATGCTTATAAGAAAACAAAAAAAAAGGATTTATTTAGATCTACACATAAGAAAATTACAAACCTTACTCTTTATAATATGGTATTCAAGAGTTTTATTTTATACTGGTATGAGGTGATCATATAAGAACTCAAATTTTGGAAAAAAAAACCAAGAAAATTAATTTTTACCAGAACCACCATAATACAACCTTAAAATATCGACCAAAAGTTTGATATCTCTCGACCTTTCACATTCGCATGATTGGATTGACAAAGGACAAATGTTTCTAGTAGAAAATGGTTTTTGAAGGCAATTTAGCTAAGAAAACCCAAAAAAGAGGATTTGTTTGGATCTAAGCATAAGAAAATTACAAATCTTACTCTTTATAATATGGTATTCAAGAGTTTTATTTTATATTGGTATGATGTGATCATATAATAACTCAAATTTTGGATAAAAACCAAGAAAATTAATCTTTACAATAACCACCATAATACAACCTTGAAATATAGACCAAACGCTTGATATCTCACGGCATGTACCTTCAAATGCTTGGATTGGCAAAGGACAAATGCTTCTAGTAAAAAATGGTTTTTGAAGACAATTTTGCCAAGAAAACACGAAAAGAGGATTTATTTGGATATAAACATAAGCAAATTACAAACCTTACTCTTTATAACATGGTATTCGAGAGTTTTATTTTATATTGATATGAGGTGATAATATAAGAACTCAAATTTTGGAGAAAAACCAAGAAAAATAATCTTTACAAGAACCACAATAATACAACCTTGAAATATAGACAAAAAGCTTGAGATCTCTAGACATCTACCTTTGAATGCTTGGATTGGCAAATGACAAATGCTTTTAGTAGAAAATGGTTTTTGAATGCAATTTAGCCAAGAAAACCTAAAAAAGAGTATTTATTTGGAGCTAAACATAAAAAATTTACAAACCTTACTCTTTATAACATGGTATTCGAGAGTTTTATTTTATATTGATATGGGAACTCAAATTTTGGAGAAAAACCAAGAAAATTAATCTTTACAAAAACCACTATAATACAACATTGAAATATAGACCCAAAGCTTGATATCTCCCAACCTCTACCTTCGAATGCTTTGGATTGGCAAAGGATAAATTCTTCTAATAAAAAATGGTTTTTTAAAGGTAATTTACCCAAGAAAACCCAAAAAGAGGATTTATTTGGATCTAAACATAAGAAAATTACAAACCTCACTCTATATCAAGAGTTTTATTCTATATTGGTATAAGTTGATCATACGAGAACTCAAATTTTGGAGAAAAAACATGAAAATTATATATAACTTTAGTTTGTAAGGTCGGTGTGTGTGAGTGCACAACATTGTTTATTTCAATTTCTTTCTCCAAATTCAAAATTTTTAAATCCAAATCACATTATAATTTTTAAAACATTTAATACAGCATTCAAAATAAAGATTTTTGGAAATAGTGAATATAACTCTCTTTATAAAAGATTTTAATATTTAACCGTTTTCATCATTTATAATTTTAAAATCAAAATATTAACATTTTATAATTTATAATTTTGGTCCCTTAATATATTTTAAAGTTATATTTTTGGTCATTTAAATTATTTTTATAGTTTTTGTTTTTATTAATATTACTTTTTATTAATTGTCATTTGTACTATTGTAACAAACAATATACATATTCAAACCTTATTTTTATTCGCCTCGTCCGTATATAATTGTTTAGATGACACTTTTCAAATAGCATAATATAGTTCAATACATATCGATGGAAGGCAAACGGGCAACAAGCTGCGCCGCTAGCCCTTTCTAGATCGCAAAACTAATCATTTTGAAAACAACATCTGTGGATCTAGGAGATATGACATTAGAGTGCATGACCCGTTGGACTCTGTTGAGGAGCTCCACCGCCTCTGGGGCGAGAAAACCAAATGTATCAAATGCAAAAGGTACAAACACATGTTGATTTTCTATACATGCATTCTCGTGCTTTGCCACTTTGCACGCAGCGGCTTTCAAAGCGGCATGCCCTGCTGTGAAACCCTCGCTCCTCAAACCGACGAGAGGAGAGACTCCAGTATGATCCACACACGCGTGCTTCCCTCCTACCCATCCAAAGACCAAAATGTCAGCCGGTCTAAGTGTGGATCTTCCATCCTACGGGTCCGTCAAAAAGTTCACTGGCGCTTCTTTCTTAGCAGAAATACCAGCACGCCGACAAGCATCAAAGAGAACATCCCTAACCACATCATGTTTGTACTTGAAGCCAGGGAGCTCTCTACAATGAATCGCATGTTCCCCAAAGGTATCCAAACATGCCTTGCGACAAACTGGGCATATCCCATCAATTGGGAATAGAGGAATCATGAGGCGGTAACGAAAGATAGTTCGGTACTCCACAGGAGACATATGCTGGCCAAGGCCATCAATAGGGATAATTAGCAGAAAATCCTAAGCATGAGGTGCTCGAAGACACTCAAAAACTGCTTTCTGTCTAACAGTCATATCGAAGTCGACTTCCATATCTTTGACGATTTTGCTAAAAAGGGCACACACCAATGCTTTTTGGGATTTAGGGGGGGGGGTGTCCTTATTAATGAAACCGCTACAGTCGAATCCCGGAATCGTATCGTGAAGACGATTCATAGCACATAGGTAATCAGAGTCCATACCACATATGCCACTGTCACATAAGATGTGGTCTTGTAATGCCCAAGATTGGGCCCTCGAGGCTACAAATGTGTAGGAGGAAACCTCATATGCCGAGTACAAACCCAAACCACCGAAACGAATAGGTAAGGAAGCCAGACGCCATTGAATGTCTCCAAAGAAGAGGCCTCCATATACCACCACATATGACTAAATTAACTAAGTTGATAAATTTAACTTCCAACCACTAATAAGCACTAAGAAAAACTAGTTAATCTTTATTTTTGATGCAAATATTAGTTAAAAATAGGCTTTGTTAAAAGTTTTGAAGTGTTTGCCTTTCTAGTTTCTACCAAGATAATGTGACAAACGGCGTCGTTTGGAAACTTCGTCATCTATCTATCCTCTTTTCAAGAATCCATTTCCACTGTGCACAACATATGGCGTCTTCACTTTCTCGCCATTTCTCAACTGCGTCACGAGATTCCATTTCTACCCATGGGTCAACCACCGTCTTCAACCACCACTCTCCGCCGCTGTTCCTCCGGGTCCAATATCCAACCAGTTGTGGTAGCGGTGGAGCTCAGTTCTCTAAGTTCAAATGCTCCGCAGCGGATTCTCAAACCGGGTTCTTCACGAAATTGGGACGTTTAATCAAAGAGAAGGCGAAAAAGGACGTAGAGAAGATATTCTCTGGTGGGTTTTCGAAAACAAGAGATAATTTAGCGGTAATTGATGAACTACTCCTTTATTGGAATCTCTCCGACACCGACCGCGTCCTAGATGAATTAGAAGAGGTAAATTCCATAACTTTGAGAATTTCTTGCAAATAGGATTGAATTCGATAGGGAATGATTTCGAAAGGAGATGCAAATTGGATTGAAATTATGTCTATATTCTATGATTTTAGGCATTATTGGTGTCGGATTTCGGCCCAAAGATCACAGTAAAGATTGTCGAGAGCTTGCGAGATGATATATTTGCTGGAAAACTCAAATCAGGAACTGAAATAAAGGCAAGTGTCATGAACATGAAAGTTTAATTTTGAAAATATTTTGATAGAATTTAGGATTTAGAGTAAGTTTTCACCCATGTCTTTTCTGTAGGATGCTTTGAAGAACAGTGTATTGGATATTTTGACAAAGAAAGGTGCTAAAACAGAGCTTAAACTTGGATTCAGGTTTGTTTGTTGTATTCATGAATCATGATCATCCTAGGATCTTATGTGTTTCTTTATGTTCATATGTTTGGAATTTTTAATGATTACTACACATAATGTTTGTGTTATTAGGAAACCGGCAGTGATCATGATTGTTGGTGTTAATGGAGGTGGAAAAACTACATCTCTTGGTATGTTTGATGATAATTGGATAAATGCACTCTTCTTTTTTGTTTGGTGAAAATTATTTTACCATAAGTATGTCAAAAGATGGGATTAGAATTAATTAGAAAATTAAATTACAATAATTTATTGTTTAATGCAGGGAAACTAGCTTATCGGTTAAAGAGTGGAGGTGCTAAGGTGAGTTGATATGATGCTAATATTTCCACGTTTTTACGTTATTTAGAGGCTACCAACTACTAGTATTATTTTTCCATTCAAGGGTAAGATCGGAAAACGTCATCTTGAATTTTTTTAACCAACTATGCAAAAAAATGGATAAGATAGAAAATCGTCATCCTTATCTTTGTTTATAATTTTATTTTAGGGCTAAATGCAAGAAATATCAATTTACTTTTATTTATTTGTTTATTGTATTTTATCGTCTCCCTCATTCTTTTGTTGAAATATGTGTAGATATTAATGGCTGCTGGTGATACATTTCGGGCAGCTGCGAGTGACCAACTGGAAATTTGGGCAGAAAGGACGGGCTGCGAGATTGTTTCAGCTGAAAAAGAGAAAGCCAAAGCATCATCAGGTAGACAAGTAAATAAATCTCAAGGGTATTTTCGGTATTTTAGCCGCTACTAACACGTGATCTTGAAGTTCTTTTTGTGTAGTTCTGTCACAAGCCGTTAAGAAAGGGAAAGAAGAAGGTTATGATATTGTTTTATGCGACACCTCCGGACGTAAGACATTATTTTTGGTCGATATATCATGAGGGTATTTTGGTAATTTAATAGAAAAAAGAAGAATGGAATTGAATTCCTTCTTTCGATACATAGGTGTAGTGAAATCCATTAAACATGGAATTTGAATTCCGTCCATTTGGCAACCAAACGATTCAACTTACCACTTTGTTTTGTTTTTTTTTTTTTTTTTTTTTTTTTTTTTTATATGTGAATAGGACTTCACACTAATTATAGCTTGATGGAAGAATTGATAGCATGCAAAAAAGCTGTTGCAAAAGTTGTTCAAGGCGCCCCTAATGTATGGTTAGCCATTTTATTTCTCCATTAGATGTATTATTACATTAACATTTAATTATAGAAATTATTTATCAAGAAATATCTGAGGGTTAAAATGTCATAGAATAGCAATGGACTTTTTCATTTCATACCGATATCACTGAACTTTTTTTCGTACATACATGTATTTTTTTAATATTTAAATATAAGGGTTGAATATGCTTATTTTTAATTTATTGTTTCTTACATTACCAATTTAAATATTACATTTTTTATTTAGTTTGGTAAATTTTCATGGGACGGAAGGAATGGTAATATGGTATTAGGATTGTTTGGATGTGCATTTCCAAAGTGCTTATTACACTTTGAAGAATATGATAACCTTTATTTTGTGTGTTCTTTCCCTTTTTTACATCTTTACTTCTCTGGTATATAAATAAGACAAAAATGTTAAAATGGTAATGTTTTGCAATTTACAGGAAATTCTACTCGTTTTGGATGGAACAACGGGTTTGAATATGCTTCCACAAGCTAGGGAATTCAATGAGGTAAAGGGGTATGAATTGAGAATTACCATGGTTTTCAAAATTTAATCACATATCAAAATCAGATATCTCAAAATTTTGGATGCAAATACATAATACCAAGATTTCAACAACCTATAAATATATAATGCTTTCTACTCACATATTTGCTATATTTGGGTAGATTTTTCAATGTACAATGCTGTAATAAAAAGAAATTAAAAATCGGATGCTATCATTAACAAATCAATGTAAGTAAATTGTCATTTCATTTATTTAACCCTTTTTTTTATATACATAATACCAAGGTTGTGGGAATAACCGGTTTCATTTTGACAAAACTTGATGGCTCTNGAGGCTGCGTGGTATGCAAATGCTTTCTTCTCGTTTTATTTAATATATATATATATATATATATATATATATATATATATATATATATATATATATATAATAGCAACGTACTTTTAAATCCTTAAATTTGAATTCCACTTGTAGGTTAGTGTAGTTGATGAGCTCGGGATTCCTGTGAAGTTTGTGGGTGTTGGGGAAGGGGTGGAAGATCTCCAGCCATTTGATGCACAAGCTTTTGTTAACGCCATTTTCTCATGAGGCGTAGCCAAGAGAAGGTTAGTTTGTTAAATGTCTAAAATACCCTTTAATACACACAAATTAAATAGAATACCATAAGTTCTTTGTGACAGTTACAATGGACAAATCGGAAAACGTAAAGGAAATTTGATCATTTATGTTTGTGGTGGTGATGATGATGATTAGAACCCATGATTATATGTAATTTGATTATAAACTTATAATAGAAATCAAGTACATTTCTTTTACATGTAGGTGTATCATACTATTATGTATGGAGCAATGGTAACACCATATGAATGCTCGAGAGAGAGAAGGGTGGGATTAGCCTAAAAGGACTATTCCATTTAGTCCAGAAGCACAACGATAAGATTATTGTGATCAAAATGGGTATTTCCGATGGTTGAGTTTGGGTGTAAAAGTGTGGTTTATGTATAAGATAATTTAGGGACTCGATTCATTTGGGTTACTTCTAAAGTGCATCCTCAATCGGTTTTTAATGCTTAAATTAAAGTTTTCCTT